TTGTGTTTTCTCAATAAATGGTCAGATTGACATTTAAAAAACACATAGGAAGGAAAAGAAGCCTTGAGATATATCTTTGAGATTTGATAGTCCATAAATTTTCTTCAAATATTTATAGAATCTCACAGAATAGTAAGAAATGTCATCTTATTAAATGAAAAATTCACTTCACAACTTGGTATAAATTTATTTTACACTCTGTAAAAATGCTAGTTGAATAACATCTTTATATGTCAAGATGAGAATATATAATACAAATTCACCAATAGGATGAGATCACTAGTGATATAACCTACAGCCTCTAAGGGGCCAGATGTTCCTGCAATTTTTATGTACAGTCATCAGTGTCTATATAAAGATTCTTATGGATTATATGAGTCAGGTAAAAATAAACATGTATACTTATTAGCGTTCTATTCATAATTTTATTAAAATAGTAATTGATAGCTTAAGAAATCTGCATCTTGGGAGTATATTAGCTAAAATTGAATTCTTCATCTTAAATGTGAAAATCTGAAATTTAAGTATATTTTTAGGCTTGAAAACATTTTTATTTACTGACTTACCAGACTATGGGATCCTCTTTTGGGGAAGTAGGGGGACAGGGAGCACCTTTTTAACATGATGAAAAATACACTTTTAGAAATATTGGCCTGTTAATATTCAGAGAACTAATGTTTTCTAGAATATACTTTTGGAAAATAGACACTTGGAGTTAATCATTGACGCTGAGAATGAATGATATCTCTGAGAAAGAGAGCTGAAGTTTAAGCTCCACATTGACCGTGCCCAGCTCAATAAAGGAATAACTCCTCATGGTTTGCAGCTGAGGCCATTTAAACATAAATGACTACACCAGGATTTTCAAACTTGAGTATCAGAATAATCACCTCGAGGGCTTGTTAGAACACAGATTGCTGGGACTCACACCCAGCTGGGCCCTTTCCAGTTGGTAGCTGGAGAAAACATTCAGAACAGCATAAGCAGAATAGTACCATGTTGGAGAAACCAAAGAGAAAGGGTTTCAAGATGAAAGCAATGGGTGTTATCAAATGCCACCAATAGGACAAGGAGAATATATATTGAAAAGAGAGACCACTAGATTTGTGGTTTTGAGGTGATTTGTGGCTTATGGAAGGCTATTGGAGAAGAGTGGTAGGAATGTGTTACCTAACCTAGATGTGCCACAGTTCAGTGTTGGCACTTTATTCCATAGAAGTGGGTTCCTGCTGTCGTCTTCTGGGGAAATTTAGGTCAATAAGTTACATTAGTGGTAGTGAATGGAAGACAATAAATAGTTGTGGTTGGGTTTTGTCTCTATTGGCAAATGATAATGATGTAATAAATGATATTTGGACATTCAACTTTTTAAAAATACTTTGTTACTGCTCTCCATTAGTATGGACCATGGGGAGTTAATTACACCTCTGTGGATTCTACAGGAGGTCACTTCTTCTTCTAAGTGAAATGTGCGCTTTGCTGATGACCTTAGTATAACCCAGTGGTTCTCAAAATGTGGTCCCTGGACCAGTAGCATCAGCGTCACCTGGGAATATGAGATGTGCAAATTCTTGGACTTCGGTGAAGACTTACTAAATCAGGAACTTCGGATGCAGGGCCCAGCAATTGGTGTTGTAACAAACCCCGCAGGTGATTCTGATGCTTAAATTTGAAAACCATGGTGTAGTCATTTATATTATAAATGTTCAAGTAGCCTCAGCTGCAAACCACAATGAGTTACTCCTTTGTTGAGCTGGGCACACACCTGGATATGGTGCCTTGCTGTTGAGCCCTAGTTGAAAGATACTTTTGGCTGGGCGCGGTGGCTCATGCCTGTAATCCCAGCACACTGAGAGGCTGAAGCGGGAGGATCGCTTGAGGTCAGGAGTTTGAGACCAGCCTGAGCAAGAGCAAGACCCATGTCTCTACTAAAAATAGAAAAATTAGCCTGGTGTGGTGGCGTGCAACTATAGTCCCAGCTACTCGGGAGGCTGGGGCAGGAGACTTGCTTGAGCCCAGGAGTTTGAGGTTGCTGTGAGTTAGGCTGATGCCACAGCACTCTAGCCCAGGTGAGAGAGCTGAGACTCTGTCTCAAAAAAAAGAAAAGAAAAGAAAAAAACAAAACGAAGATACTTTTGTGACGCTGTGATGTTTCTGGTTGAAAGTCAAAGGATTCTTTTGGGGGAGCACTGCCTTGCACACCGTGCTGGGAAACAGCTAGTAGTCATAGTCAGTTTCTAGCTCTGCTGCACCTGGTTAATGCTCAAGCATCTTCCTACTAATAAAATTATTGGCCTCCTTTGGGGGAAAGAACTAGATGTCCCACTGAGGAAGAAATAGGATTTTCTTCCTGTGATTCTTTCTGTGATTTTAAAAAGCGTCTCATTTTATGTTTTATAACTGAAATAGCAGGAAAATTGAAAAACAGTATGAAAAAGCATAGATAGCTCTCTTTTCTGAAACTGAATGTTTCAGAACCATCTGTTAATAGATGGTGCAAAAGAAC